AGCTTCGTTGTTCGAACCTAACCTCGGCGACCCGACTGGGTTTGGTTGAGCGAGTTGGAAGTATCTCAGCCCTCCCTACTTCCTTCAGGTGGAATGACTGCTCCGAACACTGAACCTACTACAATCAGCAATCAAATCGGTTACCACTGGTTCATTATCGGGGGAGGGAGAGAGGGTACACCCTCAGCGATAAGCTAACTAACTAACGGCAATCTACTCAAACTGAGTTATCAGCGCTCTTCTCGATGGCGAAACCCCTTGACGTATAAACCACACAGCTTGTTACAAAGTCCGCGGTTTTGAGTGGGCGAAATGTGGACAAAGTTTTTGGAAAAGCGTGTCTCTATTGGCCGCAGACTTGTGAAAGCACACGGCTTGCGACACGCGTTGAAGACCGGGTGATTGAGGTTCCCCTCTCACTTTTCGAATGTCGTGTTCTGCAGTTAGATATACCGGACAATCGGTAGTGTTCCGGTAGTCAAACTGTAAAGCACCAAGAGGAAGCGTCGGCTCAGTCATTGTCCTGGGCGACGAGAGATGACAAGAAATAAGAACGTTGATTGCGGACGCCAATCACCCATACAGATCAACGGTATTCCATTGAGGTACTTGAAGACCATACGTCGAACGAAATTGAGGGTGCGCGATGCGGCCATCAGACCTAGACCATACGAGCTGACAAAATCCGCACATCCAGAGTATTTGACCAATTGCGTTTGCGGTGAATTTGGAAGGCACCTTGTACAGACAGCTGTATCAAGTGTCTGAAAATGATGTCACGGCTTTTACGGAGAGGTTGGTGGACGTTCGGAAGGTCAACCGCAGAGCATATTCTGAGCAAATCAAGCTATCTTGCTAAAGAGGGACATATCACAGCGGAAGACATTGGAAAACCTGACTTAGAAGGGTTAGGGCATCTGATCGACTTCTGGATCATCACGTCGTGTCGAGAACCAAGAATCGAAAAAATGTCCAGAACCTGTTGCTGATCGTTGTTTATGGACGGTAAAAAAACAGATCAGTTATCTCCAAATAGAATGACCTTCCTCCAAGAGGACGTTATCTTGAAGTGAGGATTCGTATACGACTGGGCAAATATGCACGTTGACCGTCGGTAATCGGAATACGCATGAAAGGATATGGGTCATGTTTGTATGGGGATATGAACACATATCTGTTGGTTTACCTTAGCAAAAACCACCGTCGTGAATATCTCCTGAGAACTTCTCACCCCAGACAGCGTGCATTTTTTAAATTATGGGCGTCGAAGCTGTGTGCAAATGTTCGAACCGCTGCTGAGCCGAACCAGTGAGGATTAAGTTACCTAGTTATATATCTGTCTTAAAGATGGATATACGCGTTTAACTGAAGCAGTGATCATGAAAGACAACAGGACAGTACATGACCTTGGTTGTTGGTCTGTTCGCCGAGCTTGGTAGTTGGATTGCAAACGTTTCATCACCAGTCGAGGTGACATCGTCACTCAACCCAGCACTGCCGACGTCACTTCGATTGGTAATGGAACGCCTGCAATCTAACTGTCAAGCTCGTCGAACACACCAACAACCAAGCAACACAACCGAGCAACATATTCTCCGTAACAAGACCGGTCATTTCAGCTCAGGTTACAGTACCTTTCGTTGTCGGGCAGTCTGCCATTCTATCGCAGCTAGATATCAAACTGATGCGGTGTAAAGCGAAATTCAGCCACTGGCATTGTCGAGTGTGAAAATCGTATTATCCCATCCTGTGTACAAATGCTCGAACCGCTGCTGAGCCGAACCAGTGAGGTGCAAATGTTCGAACCGCTGCTGAGCCGAACCAGTGAGGATTAAGTTACCTAGTTATATATCTGTCTTAAAGATGGATATACGCGTTTAACTGAAGCAGTGATCATGAAAGACAACAGGACAGTACATGACCTTGGTTGTTGGTCTGTTCGCCGAGCTTGGTAGTTGGATTGCAAACGTTTCATCACCAGTCGAGGTGACATCGTCACTCAACCCAGCACTGCCGACGTCACTTCGATTGGTAATGGAACGCCTGCAATCTAACTGTCAAGCTCGTCGAACACATCAACAACGAAGCAACATATTCTCCGTAACAAGGCCAGCACAAGACCTTGAAAAGGAGATGATGTGGATGATAGACTTTCGATTAAGTCACCGAATTAATTCAACAGTGGAGTTAGCCATGGTATCGAAAACATCCGTGCAACGAATAGGGTTTTCGCGCACGGCTATCCACATTCTCCTCCATGGTCTATCTGTTAGCTGTTCTACCGCCGAACAACCTCACATGAAGTTCAGCAGAGCCGTAGGTTGCACAAGAACGCAGGTTGGAATGATGGATGAACGGCCTTACTGTGGGCGTGATCTGTTCTACTTGGGTCGTTGAAAAAACCGGTAATATCATTCTGTAGATTGAAGTGATCGGGTAGTGTAGTCAGCTTAATAAGTCGTCCAAGGGGAATCACGGCTATACCGAAAAATCTGGAGGGGAAACAGTTATGGCTAGCCTTATTACTCAGAGCAAATACACTGACTGACAATGTATGACTGCAGTCTACTGGGCCATCACAATAAAAGTACAGTGGAGAGAATTAGAGAAACGGTCGTAAGCGGTATCCGGTTGAATTTGAAAGATGTTGGCGACGGTGCAAACTAGGCTTACTCGTGACTTTGAGTGTGAACAAACTCAATTCTAGAAGGTCCATCTATGAATGCTGACCAAATGTAGGGGGATTTTCTGAGTAGCGTTTTCCTCTTTCGGCCAGAGTGGACAATGGTGCATATAAGTTATGTGCTATGGTGCTGATTCCTTGGATTCTATTCCGCGCAGCAAATCGCCTATTAGGTGCGATGAAAATGTTGTAGATGGTTAGTGGAACCATACTGAAACCCAGAAGCCATTTCCAACCCGACTGGAACTCTTCCGGTGACAAAACGGCAACAGCTGATCCGTTTGGTCGGATGTTGTATGTCAATAGTGTTTGAGAGAACGAAACCCAATACCCCACTGAAAACTCGTCTGGTTTCGACAAAGAAGAAGCTAATTGACAAGGCAGACTAAAGTGCTCGTGTGGTACGGCACTCCGTTTCCGATGGCTCAAACGATGGAGCGCTATGCTCGTCATTCAACACCGGCGATCCATTGACTGACGCATTCCAATCTCTGTTCCACATTAGTCGTATATTAATCTACCATTTCAAATTTCAACTGAAACATATTTCTTCACTGGATACAGAATTTGGCAGTATTCAGACAATCGAACCGGAATGTGGTAAAAATGTACGCAGACATTTTTCGGATGGCCTCTCAGACCGACAGGCTAGACTCTTTCTCTAAGATCTCTGTGACTTTATAAGGAAGCATAGTTAGCGTTATCCAGGGTCGTTTATTTATCGACTGTTGGCGTTGTATCGAAATGCACGGAAAGTGAATAACCTTGGTTGTTGGTCTGTTCGCCGAGCTTGGTAGTTGGATTGCAAACGTTTCATCACCAGTCGAGGTGACATCGTCACTCAACCCAGCACTGCCGACGTCACTTCGATTGGTAATGGAACGCCTGCAATCTAACTGTCAAGCTCGTCGAACACATCAACAACGAAGCAACATATTCTCCGTAACAAGGCCAGCACAAGACCTTGAAAAGGAGATGATGTGGATGATAGACTTTCGATTAAGTCACCGAATTAATTCAACAGTGGAGTTAGCCATGGTATCGAAAACATCCGTGCAACGAATAGGGTTTTCGCGCACGGCTATCCACATTCTCCTCCATGGTCTATCTGTTAGCTGTTCTACCGCCGAACAACCTCACATGAAGTTCAGCAGAGCCGTAGGTTGCACAAGAACGCAGGTTGGAATGATGGATGGAAGTACGGCATAGACGTAATACGCCGTGATTCAAGCTCCATAATTTAAAAACACAAGCCACCCGACACGAGGAGACCGTATTAGGCCTTCAGTGAGCTAGTAGACCACGAGAGCGCGCAATCTAAGGGTGAACGGCCTATGTGTACTGTGGGCGTGATCTGTTCTACTTGGGTCGTTGAAAAAAACCGGTAATATCATTCTGTAGGCTGAAGTGATCGGGTAGTCAACCGAGCTTAATAAGTCGTCCAAGGGGAATCACGGCTATACCGAAAAATCTGGAGGGGAAACAGTTATGGCTAGCCTTATTACTCAGAGCAAATACACTGACTGACAATGTATGACTGCAGTCTACTGGGCCATCACAATAAAAGTACAGTGGAGAGAATTAGAGAAACGGTCGTAAGCGGTATCCGGTTGAATTTGAAAGATGTTGGCGACGGTGCAAACTAGGCTTACTCGTGACTTTGAGTGTGAACAAACTCAAACTCTTGGTCTAATATGGGCAGCGCGATTGGATGACTGGCCCGATGGCTGTGAAGCTCTCTGGTAACTTATGACTTGTCCGTGGTCCGAGATTATCATAAGGACACAGAGGACTGATGAACCCTAACAAGAATGGAACCCGAGTCCAGTAGTGGTGTGGCCCAACTAGAAAAAATCGTGTCATCTGTAGCGACTGGCCTTCTGTCTACATAGCCCTGGAACTAATTTTATTAGTACACCCACATAGACTGTCTATTATCTTGTTTACCTCACAACCACGACCATCACCTACCATTTCCTCAGCACCTACTTCTTCGCTAAGGGGAGAATATTTGTAGAGGTCACGCATCAGATTACGCGTCACAAACACTCAAACCACGTGACAATTCCTGTCCCACTTGCAACCTTAGCCGACAACTCGTACACTACGACTTCTCATCCACTTTTGTTTAAGCGGCTACTATTTGCGCAATGCCCCAGGCTTATGAACTTCATTCCACACAGGTCGAGCTGTATTCAGGTTCATGCGAGTGTCAAACACGAAGGGACACCCCTCTCTTCACAATGCACACAATAAATAGGCATACAACTAGGTTGCACACACACACACACTCGCGCGCATAGGACAGGAAGTCAGCAGAGCTCTGCAAGTCTCCACGGACAACTACCGAACACGTGTAGCAGTGATACTGTACAGAAGACACGTCCCGTGTCTGGACTTTTACTCAGGAACTCTCAACACGTGTGCTCAAACGATAAGTCACTTTTTGGCTTATTCCACTTTTCACATTGTATCTGTTTATACCAAGTGCACCTAACTACTGTATTCATCACATTCTAGTAGGACAGACATTTGTCGGTGCTTGTTACCTTCTGATAATCAACTTAATTACGTCACAACTAGAGCACTAACATTATTCATTCTACGTAATGCGACTTGCGAAGCAAGTATGCTGCCTTTAATATGCTAAGCGTATCTGACATCCGCATCGACGATCCGTCTAGAGAAATTCCGTCTCAAATCCTGCAACTTAACATAAGTGTACAAAACGTTATCCGACAGGTATACACTGAGTCAGTGACTGAAGTTGACCAGATAAAATGAGGGTCAACATTACCAAGGACTTAGCGCTCCGTTTGTTACCTTTTGATAATCAAGTTAATCATGTCACAACTAGAGCACTAACACATCACAAGAGGGAAACTGTTAGAGTTACAATGACATGGGCGAGTAACAGTATGTAATAGCAAGTACGGGGCCCGTGTGTTGGGATTACTCATCTCAAGAGGAAATACTGAGCAATAACTAACCCACATTGTCGAGCAGCATTTGAGCGAACTGCTCGGGTGTCCCCAACCACCATTATGAAAGCTTCGGTATCTTCTGGTGCCGTTTCGCACGATGTTTTCTTGGTACTGCAACGGTTCGGAGTGTGGGCCGTGTGTTGAACAGCGGTATCAGTTGAGGAGGTGGGCCCACGTCGGACATCTGGAATGCGAGATAGGGACAGAACAAATATAGAACATGCTAGGTAATGAAACATTTCAGTGAAGCCATAGGTGTGTTGATGAGACCAGTTTTTGACAGCTGTTCTCCCTGCAAATAAAATCACGACATCATAAGATCTTTATCAAGACGAGTCTTATTCGCACTGCCAATCAGGGCTGAGGTCAAGCGTCGGGACGAAAATAAAGGATAGTACTATGGGAATGGTATGGAATCTAGCTAGACCCCATGATAGTGCACTCATTCATCTGCTTGGTCCGCCCATGTACCTTTGATAGTCACTTGTTTCACTCATCTGTACCCGCCGTTCACCTTGCCACGAAAGCCGTCTCGTCCTACACTTGTGTGTGAATGTGTGCAGCTGACCTACTTACCCGTGCGCGTTCGTGTCCCGTTTGCTGAGCCTACATTGACTTGTTTACTCATGAGTCCCATGTGATCGCACCGTTAATCAGAATCACGAGACAGTCGTCGGAAACGTAGACCGCAACCCACACTACTGAGCCAACATTCCGCTAGCCATTGACTGCTATGCGGACCTTGACACTGCACTGTCTGCCGGTCAGTGACAGACTTACGCCCATGTTGACGCTACGAACATGGACAATTGAGGTTCGTTGTGTAAGTTTGCTCACTTTTGCGCACATAAAATCGCAGACCCAATTATTCCTTTTAATATTCAGCTTCTGCCGAGTCGTCCCAGTTACCCGGTTTGGGCGTTAAAGATGACTGATGCATGTGGCTGGACAGTTTGACGGAAATGGCAAGGAATCTAAATCCGCTATTTGCTCCTTTTTTTCTCTTACCCTAATAGTACCGTATAGAAACCCAGCTCCGACTTTGTTTTGCCTACCCGGAGGTTCTGGTATTACGCGTCACTCGAAGATACCGTTCGACCGTTACAAGTATAGTGATAATGGACCAATGACTGAGAGCCATCTTGTCCAAGACCTACTGTCGAAGAGAGCTCAGCTACTACCGGAAGATTTGTGGTTGGAACGCGGCCTTGACTTTCCGACTGTCCTTTTCTGGGCTTGAACAACCTGACAGTAGATCAGTCATCGTGCTTCCTTGGAGTTGTGTGACAGACAATCAACGAAAGGGTACCGCAGCTGAACGAGGATTAACTTCTATCAAAGACTGGATTGGATTCAGATGCTGAACTAGGCGACATTTAGTCAGCTGACCTTCGGACTGGCATTTGATCTCTCCTGGCGGAAAAATCGGACGAAAGCAAGTGGCCGAATCTCGGAGGTTTATCGCTTATACTCTAGGAATCATCCAAGAGCGATCTGTTATGGGACGCATTCTCAGATTTACTAAAACGAATTAAGGTCTTACAATCTGGAGGACTAGTGATACAGTATGAACGCTGAGTTCAAAGTGGCCCGTGTTGGATCATCGGCCTTGATTTGTTGTTATCTTGAGTAGATGGATAGGAAGAGCAAAACTAGCCAACGTTCTTTACACACTACACCATTTTCACGGCTCTACTTTGATCATCAGCAAGCTTGTTGTAGATTTCCTTCCTCAATCGACTGATGTTTGAAAGGGTTGGGAGCGGGCATCTGCATAGTACTTGCGAAGTTGAGTTTGAGCAAGCAGTACTTGGATGATTTTGTCAACTACTCTTTTGTGGGACGGGTTCAAAACGGTCTGCAGTCAACTAGTAATGCATCGAAAACCCAACTTTCTCCTGAGGTGGATGGCTACAATGTTCCGAGTAGATGTATGTCTTCTTAAACAGTCCAGAACTTCCCACAGAGGCCTTCGGAACTAAAGACAATCAACTACGGTAATTGCTCTGGTTAGATACCGATCAAGAAGGCCAAAACTGTCCCTGGGTGAGGGATATTCCTTCAAGAGAAAGGACAACCAGTGAGGATCTTGTCTGGATCCGTTATGCTACTTTGCTCAGATATAAATAACATATGGAGATGCGTTTACCGTTTATGACATGGCAACCGCGGTTATTGCTAACACGTCTGGGCGGGTCAAAAGACGAAACTCCCAGTTAAGACGAATTGTGAATGTCAGCGTTCGAAAAACTGATTGTTTTTGTTAGTTCTTCAACAATAGCAGGTTCACTGGAACAGAGCGTGTCATTATCATCATTGAGGCCATACTAGATTAGCATGAAGTCAGAGCTGTATTTATTCTGACCCTGCTCTGAACATATGAAGTCCACAGCACTACCACTCCTAAAACGTCAGGTGAATCTATATCTGTGTAGTGTACTACTCATAAGGTTGCTGAAAATCGGTCGACAGCCCACGACCGGTTTCGCCCTTCCACTTCGGGCTCATCAGGTAGGCGCAGTCTCCGGGTTTCCGTCAACCTTATGTTCTACTTGAAACCAAATTGCACGAACTTAGCGAATATACACTCATCTGCAAACTAATTTGGTTCTTTCGAGAGACTCAGGTGAATCTAGTCGTATTCAAGATTTGACCGGATGACAGGGGGAGAACAGTCCAATACTATGGTATCGCGGTCACNGGATACCATCAAACAGGGATGATGCTGCATTACGAATCCGTGCTTTAATGATACCAAAAGTTGTGCAATCTCCCTGCTGACTTCCCTGGATTTTTAGTTTGGCGACTTTCGGTTTGTCCACAGAACTGTTCGTCGCATTAAATCATTACGAGTCATTTGGGCTGCTTGCCGGTTTCGTGAATTACGTAATCACTGCGTGTGTTATCAATTACCTGAAGTTGCTTGATGTAACAGAGCTGTTGCTTGGACAGATACGCCTCGCGCCGTGCAAACTGGGGCGGGGGTGTTCGACGACGTCGTGATTGAGGATTCAGGCGGAGAGCAATCTAAAGAGAGGAAGTGTAGAATCGAAATTTAAAAAGTAGCCAACCTTCGACGTACAGAAAAAAAACACGTCTTGTACGAAAAGTGGGCAATGAACACAATGGGGTCTCTTTACAGCGACCCCTGAAGTCCAAAATGGTTGATCTAGAGGAGTGGACACTTTAGATTGTGTTACGACGCGATGAATCCCTATAGAATCAGTGCAAACCTGATGCCTGCTCTTCCCTTGTGGATAGGAAAAAACGCACGTGATTATACGGAGATCAAATCCTCCTAGTATGCCACAGAAGAGTGGAAAATCTTTCTATGGGGTTGAAAAAAGCGGTTCAACGGTATTTAGCAGATTCTCGTCAGGTGTGTACTGAAGTGAATTTAAACAATACCGGCGAGAAAACAATCATAGGCGGTCAGACTTGTTCTCGCTAACATTTCTAATCAGACCCCAATGGCCAAAGTATGTCTGCTTTATGGTATCACATCAATTTACGTGGTAAACGATCTGGCTGGAATATATAGGAAACTTCGGCTAAGTAGTACCGAACATATGCCAAGTAGAGTGAAGAAACGTTTTGGTCATTCGATATGAACCACAACCGTCGGTCGTGCGTCACTCGTTCAAAAATCGTCATCGTCATTGTACTGCAGGCTTCTAGAAGGCGGTTACTCAAGCTGGCTGAGGTGACGACGATCGAAAGGCCAAAACCAAGTTTGTACAGACGTGAGAAACTTTTCAAGTGCAGTCCGCCTTGTGTTATATTACTGAACATTAGTCCTTTTTGCGAGAGAACATTTCTGTTTCGTTACACTGACAGGAATGTACTTGGCACCGGGACTGGAACAGCACAGAGGCTAAGGTACAACGTCTCGCGATTTTACAAAGGGGGCTTTTGACCCGCAGAGCTGAGCATTATGTCGTCAATTTGACTCAAGGCTATTTCACCAACGGTATTTACTCCGTTTATTTTAGTGACCAAATTCCTTCCTTCCCCAAATCAAGGCGAACGACTGACTGTGATCATTTTACGTCGAAAGTACACGTAATTTTGCATGGCTGATTTAGCTAGCTGATACGTTGGGAATCCTTTCAGTCACTTCATGTGAGTGATATGAAGAATTACCGTTGATAACAATGTTTACTCCCCAGGACTTCCGGTGCATTACTCTACTAATCAATATCAGTCGGTCTGTCCCCCGATTCTCGCCAAAGATAAGCACATACGTTTCTGATCTGCTAGACCAAAAGGGCGATCGGTACCGCTTAATTGAAAATCCGTTTCCCACATTGGACTCACTGTTGGCTTGTTGTTTCCCAAGCTTGTACTCCATGAGAACAGGGTCCCAGGTTCGCGGAAATCTTAGTTAATTATGTAATCGACATCACCATCATCATCATTGTCAGCTGTAATAACCGCGTACTAGTCGTACAGTGGTTGTAACCGCCACAGTTTCGTTCACCGACGATTCGGGGAGATGGGGTAGGTAGCTGCGCATTGGAGGCGGGAGCCGATAAATTAGTGCATAAATACAGCACTGTAAGTGGACTGTCAAGTGGGGGGAAATTGGGAAGGGAGCTATGCATTGAAGGCAGTAGGTTGGATGCATGAGCGCCATTGAGAGCGCGACTGGGCCATATCTGACAATGTCTCTAGCCATTGGTGTGGCCCGTCTCGGGGTCCCCATCCAGGAAGACGACAGTGACCAGCGCAGCGGAGTGTGCTGGTGATGGCTTTTACACCTCGCTGTCAAGTCATTGTTTGACCGCCTCTAGCTCCCTTCCACCGTTCAAGTGGTTGTGCGAAAAGAGCCATTCGAGGAAGTCGGTCGACTGACGTACGCAGCACGTGGCCAAGCCAGCGCAACCGATGCAGTGTAATCAGTTCATCTATTGAGGGTGGGTTATTTCTCCCAAATACCCTTCGACGAACTTCAACATTGCTGATCCGGTGTTCCCACCAGATTCGGACAATGCTCCGAAGACATCGGTGGTCAAGCTGCGTGCAGCGGCCCGGTATCTGACCCATATAGTAATATGGAGCGCGAAAAATGATATTTTCATCCGGATTGTGAAGGCTAGAGCAGCTTTTGTGAACCTGTGTCGCCTGTGGTGTGACATCAGCTTCTCTATCAAGGACCGAGTTTACAATGTAATCGACAAGTAACATAGAAGGAACTTCAAAAGATACCCGACATTCTTTTTATCTAGAACCATACAAATCAATATCAACAACTTCCCGTACACATCCTCATGATGAAGTTTGTTCAGCCTAGAATTAGCACTTTTAAAAATTCCGTAGTTTCTTATCCTACCCGCCATCTGTTGAATTTCATCTTAATGTGCGATGACCATAGACAGTCAAACTCCCTTGTCTGAATGCCTCCATAAATTTTGTTCTCTTATCGATACAGGATGCTCCTCCACGTTTCGATCGATGTAGTTATCAAATCAGCTGTAGATGTGTGAATTTTACGATAAGATTCAGTTCCATCGAGGTTCACAAAACCGGTCATGACTTGGAAAGCGACCAGCCATCCCGATAGTACTCAGGATATGCCATGGTGCAATAATGTTGACTAAACTGATGATATCTAGGAAAGTGTCCAACCGCCGGGAAACGTCGGATTAACGTATTGTGTGCCCCGATCGATGATACCCACAGAACGAAATAAATGAATGATACGGGGCGGACAAATCATCAGATGTGCACAACTTTGCGCTTCGATCATCACACTGGTGGTGGTAGACCACATCAATCGAACTAGATGAATTTCTTAATGCAAAAAACAACAGAATGCACCCGTACGAGCCACAGCCTTCCCAACATTCCAACGCACTTCTGTTGGTGACATCGATCCTCCGGTTCAAACTGCCTTGTCAACCAATAGGATCAGACTGTTCTTTCGGTTATTACTTCACCATTCCTCATATAGGTGAACGTTCAGCCTTTACGACCCCAGGAGAAACTATCAAAATTACGTGTCCCCTGAGAGGGGAATCCTCCTGCTCTGGCACGGGACGCTTGGATTAGATTGACACACCAAGTTAATGCAACAAACTGAAGGGTGCAAACAGAAACACCAGATTACAATTGGGTCGTTTGAAGCTCATACACAGTTCCAAAAGTCGATGAACTGAATTCTGGCAATACTTCGTCTGTGAACATCTATTGCTCTTCGAGCCGTAGTGGCTGGGTTACTGCTAAGGGGAGGGGATGTCATCGACCCGGAGGAAAGAACAACATTTTGAGCAACCACGCTGCCCGGGGATCTAGGACGGGGGTGCTATTTTGTGTTTGGATCCGAAAAGGGAAAATGAAAAAAAAACATTGATTGAATGGCAGTTGGCCATCAAAAAATGACTCACGCGTTAAAACCACTCGTTGTTTTTCCCTTCGCGCCTGTACATATCTGACGGATGTCAAAGGAAGAAAAATGAAAGTGAGAGGGTCAAAGGAAGAAGCCAAATTCAACACATTATCATGAGGGGGATAGAAACAAAGAATCAGTCAACCATGTTCGATTACTGCTAGTACATTTATGAAGACAATACGCGCAAAAAATAACCTGGATATATTCGAAAAATCTGGTTAATGCCTGCATGTGAAAGGGGATTATGGTCGGTTGAACCATCATCGGCAGAAATATACCAGTAACAAGTACCGACGAATGAGTGCCACACAAGTCAGAGGAACGGAGGCTCCAGCCAAAAGGTCGGAAGAAGAGGAAGGCACAGTGAAGACTTTGGATCTAAAAGCTTTGAGGACCAAGACCGCCGGCAAACTTTCAAAGAAAACCCGGGCA